TGCTCCTGAATCAGCTGGGTGGGTCTTGCCTCTAGCCTCTTTGCAGGGAGTTCTGCTGAAGGGTTCCCTGCTGGGCCTGCAGCCTGGGTCTGTTCAGGATCTGGAAGGCCCTAGGTTGACTCACTCACTCGCCAGGCCTGCGCTCTGGGTCTATTCAGGATCCCACGACCTCGGTCGTCTCACTCACTGGGCCTGCGTTCTGGGTCTGTTCAGGATCCCGCGGCCTGGGTCATCTCCTGTGGTATTTTTATTTCCAACCTGTCTTTCCTGTTAGTGCTACGTTAGCTTTCTGTAGCTGTGACAGAATAGCTGAGGGCCCTGATTTGCAGGAAGAGAGGTTGGATTGACTCAGTGTCAGAAGCTTCCGTCCAGGTCAGCAGCCTCAGCACTGAGGCTAGAGGGCCAGGACGTGGCTGAGGATACAGAGCAGGGGCCTGCGCCACAGGCAGAGTGTCCCCTCCAAGGTCACCTGAACCCTTCCCCCCACCAGACCTCACTACCAGCATTCCCACCTCTCCCTGACACTACCAGGTGGGGACATTTCAGGTACAGACATGCATGTCAGGGGCAGCTGTGCTGCACATCAGATTCTCACGCGCATGTGGACTGCACACGTCTCGCACATGAACAGACTTCATGTTGTTCCACAAAGGCCCCACGGATGCATCTGTCACAGCTACTTCTTCCGTGGTCATTTAGATTGATTTTTGTTTCAGATGTTGTTCTTATTATAAATAATACGTGGAGGAGGTTTTTGATTGTGCTCTTAGAAGCGTCACATTTGCAAAAGCGCCGAGTGCCCATGGAGGGCAGCATGTAGGCGAGAGCTGCGAGCCCAGCTCGGGCAGGGTGTCCCCACGGCCAGCACCACCCCTCCTCCGTGCGCGCTTGTGCGCTGCGATTGAGCCAGGGCCCTGCACCGCCTAGCCCTGAGCTGGTTTTACGTGTGCTTGTGGAAGGCAGCTGAGATCACCCTGCGTGTGTGGTTCTGTGCCTGAACAAATCCTGCTACCTCATCATGTCTCTGTTTCCCTAACATGGGGAGATTTAATAGTGTATAATTTTTCTCTATTAAAAATGACATAATGAAAACTGTGATAATATTCACCAGACCAGCAACAGTTCCCTGGATAGGGCAGGGAAATTTCTTGTAAAGACCATGCACCTGAGGGTGAGGGCGGAGGAGTGGGCTGGCATCCAGCGCGACCCGTGGCCTTCAGCCCATCTCTCCTGTGGGACGGGAGGCACACGCTGCTCACTTACGTCATCACTGTCAGCGTGGGGCCATTTGTGATGTCAAGGATTCTCCATGTTGGCATCAATAAATTCCTGCTAATCAGTTATCTAAAGCAGATAGAAATGTGCATTTTACAGTTGCTTTTGTGGTCTGAATTGAATTGACAAATGGTTTCAATTGAAATTTACTTAGTTGTAAAAACCACTGTAGAGGTGTGTACCTGCGTGCTGAGTTCTTCAGAAGGGGGCGCTAGACGTTGTTCAGGGTGCACTTCGCAGGCAGTGTCCATGTCAGGCTGTCAGGCCCTCCGCGCAGCCGCAGGGACCCGTCTGGGGAGTCGGACGTGGAACTGAGCCTGCTTCCTAAGCCCCCCTGGGTCGTCGTGCAAACTTGTCTCCTTGGTTCGTCTCGCCCTTCCCTCGCTCCTGGTCCTGTAGCCGTTGCTCTGTGACTTTTTCTTTGTTGCTGTGATTCTGTGACAGTACTGGCTATGGAAAGCTATTTGAAGCTGGTCTCTGCAAAGCAGAGACAGGAGGACCCGAGTTCTAGCCGAGCGTGGGGAATGTAGCAATTCTACAAAACCCTGTCTCAAAAATCACAAAGGGTAGGAGTTAATAGCTCAGTGTGAAAGCCCTGGGCTCAGTTCCCAGCACTACTGACGCAACATGACATGACACCCCATGACAGGACGGGACGTGACAGGACACAACGCCACGCCACGCCACACCACACCACAGCCACTGGGCTGGGCTGGGAGGGTGGGAGCTGTGGCGCCATCCGTGATCCCCTCCTCTTGCCCTCAGGACCCCGCTGCACTGCGCGGCCTCGTGCAACAACGTGCAGGTGTGCAAGTTCCTGGTGGAGTCAGGTGCAGCCGTGTTCGCCATGACCTACAGCGACATGCAGACCGCAGCCGACAAATGCGAGGAGATGGAGGAGGGATACACGCAGTGCTCACAGTTCCTCTACGGTGCGCGCTCAGCGGCCCCTGCCTCGGGGGCCTCTCGTTGGCAGTGTCCTGGGCGCTTAGCACAGGGCACCAGCTGCATGTGGTCACCGGGCCTCAGCGTGCCCGGGTCCTGCCCTGACCCTGGGAGGAGTCTCTGGGTCCTGGTGCTGGGCGGCGCTGGGCCCTCGCAGTGAGTAATCAGTGCTTCACCAGCGCAGGAGGATGGACCAAATTCCAGGCAAATCAGTCGCATCGTGAAGGCAAGGGCAAGGCGCATTTTGCAGCTTTTTTCTTTGTGTTTCTTGAGTTTGTGTTGACATGTCTGATTGCTAATGTGAGGTCAGTCCCTCCAGAAGAACAGAGCTGAAGATTTAGGTGGGTATGTGCCAGTTTCTGTTTTAATCTAGGGAAAGTTTTTTTATTTACAAGACTTAGAAGTTAAAGTTAATTGTTGTCTTCAGTTTGCCTAAGAGGAGCTAGGGGTAGGCAGCAGACATGCAGTGCGACCCAGGACTTGTGTCGCGGCTCTCCTGAGCTCCTGTACCACTGGTGGGGGCTAGAGGAAAGACCCAGGGCTCTGCTGGCCGCTCCCTGGCCCCTGGGCGGTGGCTGTGTCCAGGTGATGGGGGAGCAGGGGCTGTGTGCACCGCTCTCGAAGCTCTGGGCCAGGGCTCCTGGAGCGGGGCTGGCCCTCCCTCCTCTCTGTGCTGCCCGCAGTGGGACTGCCAGGCCCTCCCATTCTGTGCCCACCTGGGCTCTGGCTTAGTGGATTCGGGACTCCGTCTGCTTGCTGGCTTCAGTGTGCGCTTCCGGAATTGCCACTGCTGCTAGGCTTGGTTTTAGGCCCGTTAAATTTTTTAAAAAATATTTATTTAGTTATTTATTTATTGTATTTTAGGGAAGGGTCTACAGGGGTGTTCAGGGTTCACTCCTAGATCGGACTCGTAGTGATCCGCCTACTTACAGCCTCCCAAGTGCTGGGATCACAGGGGCGCGCCCCCACGCCCAGGCTCAACTGCTGTCTCAGTGCGCAGGCACAGCAGGCGAGGGATAGAACCACTGGCCCCTGTGCCTGCTTGCGGGTGCTTTAATTACATTTTAATTGTAGCCCTTCAGGTAAATAGCAGGGTGATGAGAAATAGTTTTCCATTCTTAGTGCTTTTTTGGAAACTAGGACTTGAGCTCTTTGCTTTTCTTGTGCTGGGTATTGAGTTTGTACTTGCCAGGCCTGTGCCACTGAGTTACATCCCTGGTCCTGAGCTGGTATTTCGAGCATAGTAGCATGTCCAGAATTTCTTCCCTACCCGTTTCTCCATTCCTGTTCCAAACAGATGTGTGAATGGCCAGTTCTAGACGTGATGGAGTTACAGCTGCATCATGATTCTTAACTCTGCCGTGCTTTTCAAGTCTTTATTTTAGCAGGAAAGTTGGACATTTATGCAGCCCTTTGGATTGGTAGAGCTTTCTTTTGGTGAAGAACAATTTCATTTCTTGTTTCATTTCTGCTGGGGGGTGGGAGACCGATGGACAGCCAGAGAGGGAGGCTGTGAGTGAGGATAGCGAGCGTATCGTGTGACTCGATGCAGAGAGGAGTTTACAGTGACCACGTTGGTGCTCACGGAGGTTGAAAACTATTCAGGAGTGAGGAGGTATTTTCCTGGCTCTTTTCCTCTGGATTTTTAAAGCCATAAAGGTGAAAATAGTAGTTAACTTCCCGACCGAGTCCCTTCTCTCTGCCTTTCCCTTGGTTTTCTGTTAGCGTGACCCTTGAGGACAGAAGGGATAGGTGGGTGAAGGTGACGATGGGCTCTTTCATAGAAGGATCCTTTGCTCCGGTGGAAAGTGGGCTCTTGAAGATTTTTCCTCCCCAGTTTGGGGACTTTAATATCTTTCAAGCTCTGAAGAGCTAGAAATTATTTTAGAGTTGGATCATGTGTAAGATTTTTTTTTTTTGTATTTAGGACAGGCTGTGCAGGGTGTACAGGGTCTCACTGCATAGATCGGCCTCGTAGTGATCCTCCTGTTTACAGTCTCCCGAGGGCTGGGATTACAGGCGTGTGCCACCACGCCCAGTCTTGTAGGCTTTTATGTTGTGTCTATACTGCTGAGTCTCTGCATTCTACCATGCTTGACAGTGTTTAATTTCCTTTTCCCACTTGGGGCTCCGTAGAGACCCCTTGAATAGACACATAGCACGATTGATTTTTTTGCTTTTGTCTTCTGGGCTTGGGATTAAGAGCGATGTTTTCAGAGCACCTTGTGTTACATTGAAAAGTGGACAGAGCCAACAAGCGGCTCATTAATTTTTAAACACCTAGACCCGAGCAGGTTCCACGTCCCAGGCTGCCAAAGGCCCTTGTTCTTGGAGTGGGACCAGTGTGAGAAGCACTCACGGTGCCGGAGTCAGAGCTGCGCAGATGCAAGAGACGTCCTCACGTCTTCCGTGCACTCCCTGCACCCCAGGAAGCGAAACCTTGAACACTTCCTGAGTATTCTGGTGTCCCTCTCAGCCCCAGGTACCTGAGTGATGTCTTCTCTGTTGTCCTCCTCTGCCCATCCGTAGGGGTTCAGGAGAAGATGGGCATAATGAACAAGGGCGTCATCTATGCACTCTGGGACTACGAGCCTCAGAATGCCGATGAGCTGCCCATGAAGGATGGAGACTGCATGACCGTCATCCGCCGCGAGGACGAGGATGAGATCGAGTGGTGGTGGGCGCGGCTGAGCGACCAGGAGGGCTATGTCCCTCGCAACCTGCTGGGCGTGAGTGACCCTCTGTGTGTGCACATGCTTGCGTGTGTGTGTGTGTGTGTGTGTGTGTGTGTGTGTGTGTGTGTGTGTGTAGAGGGCTTTGCGAAGATTGTGTGCCACGGATGCACCTCTCTGGTACAAGGATGCAGTCACGAGTGCTGACCTCTTAGACGTGGATGTGTTCGGGGTTCCCCTTATACTCAGAGTGAGAACGACATGCTGAGACTGAGATAAGCTCTTGTAGATCCCGAGTCTCAGGGTTCCTTGTACACAGGGGTGTGTTGGGTGTGAAAGACAGAAATGGGAGGATGGTTGGGAGATTGCCATGAAGTCTGCAGCTGGAAGCACCCACCTGCAAAGCCTGCTTCCTGTGGGGAAGTCGGGGGCCTGCGGCAGTGCCCGGCACGTGCCCTGAGGAGCCGCTGCGGCCGCGTCTTCCCTGGCAGCCGTAGAGGCGTGGTGCGGGGAGCCTGCACCCAGGACCATGAGGGTGTGCAGCGGCTGAGGTGGAGCGGCCGTGTCCCCACAGGCACCCTCCCCGTAGGCACACAGACTCCACCTGCAGGGGAGGGCACGCTGCCTGAGCTCCCCACTGATTCGGCACTGCCGCTCCTGGGGTGTCGCTGGCGTGGGGCCGGCTGGTGGATTCAGCCTCTTGTCCCCTGCTGACTGTCTTCCTGTGGTGCATGGGCAATGTCACACACAGCTCCTGTCCCCCTCCTGAGGGCAGTGTTGGTTGTGATACATGCTTCTTCTGGGCTTAGTGTTGCTTACATGATCACCGTGTAGAGCTTGGTAAAAGTCCAGACGTCAGCACGTAGCTCTTGTGACGCAGGCTTCCCATCCCAGGGACATGGACACAGCGCAGTCTGGGAGATGACTGCTGCTTTGAGCTGGGCCTCAGTCTTTAATTTTGTAACTCAGATGAGAACTGCACGCACGTCACATATGTATGACGGCTAAGTCAGGCTGGCTAACGCACATCGCCTAAGTAGACATGTTAGCAGTGAGAACGAAGTCTACTTTGGCCGCTTTCAAGTCGTTATGCTTTGTTTCTGACCAAGATCATGTAATAAATGGCGAATCCGTGTGCATCCTGTCACCAGGCTCTGGCCAGCTGCCAGCTGGGGAAGGTTGTCCCTGAGCACAGAAGCCGCTGGCCGAGGGCTGTGCCCCCAGGCTGTGCCACCCACAGTCCAACTGCAGAGTGCCGTCTGGGTCCTAACAGACGCTTTCGGTCCTCTGGGATTCATTCCTGGTCAGAAGCGTTAGTTGAAGGTGTTCTCTACACACTTCTGTTTTCTTTTGATGTTTAAGAAATGAGCCCATGAATGGTACATTCTGGGGCAGTCTTTAGCTCTGAGTTTGAACATTGTACAGGCTCAGTATCCCCTCTCAGAGATGCTTGGTCCGGGCCAGCTTTCCGGGTGGGCGGAGGTCTGGCTGCCTCTAGTGAGCACGCACTTTCACCTTCTCGGTGGGGAGGAGGCAGGGCCTGCGTGGTTGCCAGGGGCCGTGCCTGGTCTGCGTGCTCTGGGCAGCCTCTGCCTGGCCCTGGTGGTGGAAAGCACACACTGTTCTTCCTCTGCATGCTCTGAGGTGGTGGCATTTGGTCCCCAGCCTGGAGTACCCCCACCCAGCACTTGTCACTGAGAACAGCTCAGTCTTGGCTCTGTGCCATCTTTGTCCTGCCTCACTGGAGCGGAACACGTCCCGCTGCCCTAGCGACCCACCCGCACAATTCTCAGGTCTGCAGGCACCAAGCTGCAGTCTCGGGCTCACGTGGCTGGGGCTGGGCCACAGCTGTGGCTAGCCGCAGCTCTGGTCACCTTGTGCAAAGCGCGAGGCCCAGGGCTTTCTGGTTTAGACTTTGCTCCTGTTGTGCTTGTCCCCCTCCTGCCAGTGTCCTTTCAGATCATGTCACAACTCCCGCCCACTGTGTAGTATATAAATAGTTTTTAAAACTCTCTTCCAGCTGTACCCAAGAATCAAACCCAGACAAAGGAGCTTGGCCTGAAACGTCGCAGGATTTTACCTAACAAGGACTCAATCTGTGCTGGCACTAAGAAGAAATAATACACTTGTTCTGGGCAGAAGTCTCACAAGATGAGCTTCAATAACAGCATAGCTCAGAAGGAGCAAAGACTAGGCTCTGGGAGAAAATGAAGGACCAAAGAGGCCCCTGGGAGGTTGCAGTGCCGCACTGCTTTCAGGGAAGCAGGCCACGTCACGTGGACAGGGCCGATGTGCGGAGAAGCTCCCGTTTCCTGCAGGACACAGGCCCGTGTGCTGCAGGGTCTGTTTCTGTCCCACAGCAGCGTCTTCAGCACTGCCCTGGACCAGTGCCCCTGTGGCACCGCCCTGGAAACCCTGCACAGCAGCCCAGGCTCCAGGGCTACACCGCCATGTGTGGGTCTGCTGTCCGCCTGTCTGTCCGTCTGTCCTTCTGTCCATGAGCAATAACTGTATCATAGGAGTTTCTTAGAGCATCTTAACAATTATACATACATTTGGAATATTGAAATTAAGGCACACTACTTGATCTAAACTAGATTTAGAATCTTGTTTTTAGGCTGAATTTGAATCTATATTTATTATCTTTTGTATTTTGGAAATTAGTGACTTGTTACAGATTTGCCTTTGATACTTGTCAAGGTCATAGCTGCCTTTAATTATAATAAAATTAAGCTTTTTGATTCTGAGCTGCTTACTGGCTTTCATCTTTGATGGCATCGATAGCCTTGTGTCAGTGCAGTGTCACGAGCCACAGCCAGGCTTTGGCAGTGCGTGGGTGAGGGAAGGAGGTTTCTCTACACACAGAGCTTCTGTTCCTGGGGGGTAGGCCTTGTCGTGGGGTGGAGACTGGGGACCAGTGCCGGGGTCCTCACTCCCTGCTTCAGGAGTTGCATGCACTGGTTTTGTTGATGTGTCCCGGGTTCTGGAATTTCCTGGACGCATCTTCTTGGTAGAGTTGTAATTTAATAGAGGATCCAAATGAAGAACACAGTTACTTTTCCTCATGCATTTTTGTGAGTAGCTAAATTCTAGTGGGTGGTGAGTGAAGGGACGCAACCCGTCCTCCTTCCCAGCCTGCCCTGGGGTCTTTGTCCTGACCTGCAGAGTAAAGGAGTCTGCAGAGCCAGGGGTGCCAGATCAGCATGCCCACCTGCAGGCCATCAGCCCAGCCTGAGGCCCGTGCAACCCCTGCCTTCCATAGTGGGAGGAGTCAGCTGCTAAGAGTGCTGAGGCCCGACAGAGGCGCGGGAGGCCTGGGCCTGCTGTCTTCCCTGGCTCTGAGGGTGGCGGAACTGGGAACAGCGGAGCAACTGTGGCAGGAAGCAGGGCCTGGGTCTCGGGGCTATGCGGAGCTGAGCCTGCGGGATGCATCTCCAGGGAACCTTGAAGCTGAGGGGGATTCTGAGCCACCTAGCTTGCGTGGAGAGCTGCCGCAGCAACTGCTAGATCCTGGGCGCCCCGAGGTTCATCGCCCCCCGCCCACCTGGCCACCCTGCCCAGATACCGGGGCTCCCCTGCCGTGGTTGCTCTACAAGCAGCTCTTGACCTCCATGTGCCTGAGCATTGCTGAGGGCAGCTCGTAGGGCTTCGTAGTAAGCTAAAGATCTGAGGGAGATCAGGGACCCATGCTGACCTCAGCTGTATGCTCCTGAGCCCTAAACGGAACACGACTTGCTTCCTTTTCCCTTTATTACCGAGGTGCCCTGGTACCAGAGCTCCTTGTAAGTACAGAAGCGTGGAAAAGGCTGCCCTAGACGCGCCACTGCCCACAGCCTTTCCTGTGACTTTTCTTCGCATAGTTGAGGGCACACAAAGCCGTCCTAGTTTCCGGTCCCTGCTTGGGATTGCGTGATGAGCGTGACTCGTGGCAGCGTACAGGCCTATCCTGTAGTGTGTCGTTACATGTCTGTTCAATGTGTGGCTTAGTGGTTTTCAGCCCAGGTGTAGGGTAATGCTGCAGGGGGTCATGTACTTTTTTGGTTTTGCGACAGGGTCTCAATTTACAGCCCAGGCTGGCCTTGAACTCCATCTTCCTACTGCAGCCTGCAGATGCTGGGATTACAGGCCAGGCTTTTTTTTTGAAAGCAGAAATAAGGCAGTGGGCCAGGGTTTGATGGGTTCCAAGGTGAGGGGAAGCCCCTGAGGGCCGTAAGGGCCTGAAGCTGGGGGAGTTGCCTGAGAGGAGGTCAGCGAGAGGAGCTGCCCCTGGGCGGGTGTGCAGAGGGAGAATCCTGACCTGACCCTGACCCAAGCGGCCTTCAGGATGGGGCGGGGCAGACAGGCACAGCAGCTTTGGAGTCTGATTGGCTGCTGCTGCTGCTGCTGCTGCGTGGTGCCAGATGTGGGGCCAGATGTGGGGCCAGTACAGAAACCTCCACAGGCAGGTGCGTGCACTGGCCGGGCGCCTTCTCCATGCCGTGAGCCAGGGCTGGGGCATGGATGCTTCGTGCTCTGCGAGAAGCCAGGGTTCTGGGCCTCTGCCTCAGCTTCTCCTCAGCCTTCTCTCTTCTCATGTGTGAACCAAAGTCCTCCCTAGGTCAGCACTAGAACTGTGCTCCAAGGGCTGCCCTTGACCTGCTGTCCCCACCTACTGCCCCATCCCAGGCTCATCCTCAGCCACCTCCGACCTAGGGTTACCCATGCAGTACCCTGTTGCCCACCTGTTGGTCAACGCACGCACACGTGTGGCCTCCCACTCCTGGGCCTCAGGCTCCACTTGGCCACAGTGAGGGAAGCGCCCTGCCCGCAGTCTCTGCAGGAAGTCCAGGCCAGGCCTGCCCTCTGGGCAGCGCGTCTCCTGCCCCAGGTGAGTCCTGGGGTTGGTGGGTGCTGATGCGCTCCCAGCTGGGCCGGACGCTGGCACTGAGCTGCCAGGCCAGCTTCTGAGGGCACAGGTTGCCAACAAGAATTTCTGAACTCAAGCTGCGGGGTTCCGCACGTGGTCCTAGGAAGAAGCCTCCCTGATGTGGGGAACACAGAGGGATGAACGGCCTCTGGGGGCCCCAGTGCCCTGGGCAAGGAGACAGAATGTGGCTGGCAGGTGAGTCTTTATTCAACAGGACGTGAGCATGGCGGTAAGGCAGAAGGTGACTTCTTTACAGTGTGGTCGGCTTTTCCCAAAGTCAAGCCAGGAAGCCAGCTGCGGCATCTCTATACAGCCTCAGAGAGGTACACAGGAGACAGAAGAGTCCGGGCGGCCGGGGGTCAGAGGTGGCCCACAGCCCAGCTGGTGTCGCGTGGTCCTGGTGGGGTGAGACCAACGCCCACAGCCGCATGTGCACGAGGCCAAGTGCGGTGTGTGCCCAGCCTGTCCGAGCCAGGTGAGGAGGAGTATTCCCCTCGTGGGCCCTGAGGCCCGGGGGAGACAGCTGCCAGCACCCTGGGGCCCTGCGGTACGGCTGCCTGGAGACTGATGTAAAACACCTCCCTGCGTGTCTTCCTGGATTAGTATTGCTCTGAACGGGAAAGGTGTGAGTACAAGGCGTGCACTGACCATAGATGTAAGGCCGCCTCTGCGCATGTCAAGGGGTGAGCAGCTCACCTGCATTTAGTACAATATGCAAACCTTCTACCTGGACATGAGAGTGCGGCTGTCTCGGACAGACGCGTTCCTTTTGGCTACAGTCCTCAGTTTGTGCGAATGCTCCCACAGTCCCAAGGGCCTGAGGTGCAGTGTCTAGAAGCTGAGTCCTGCTGATTTCCTTCTCCAAAGTCGCAGGCAGCTTCACAGCACTGAGAAACACAGCCACTGTGGGAGGGAGAACACAACCACCTCAGCGGCCAGCTGAGGCTACCTGGGCACCTCTGGATTACTGAATAGATGGACTGTTGAGCCAAAACGCTGGCCAGGGGCTGAGACCGGACAACGCCAACACCCATCTCCCCCCGCCGGCCAATTCTGGCTTCGACCAGCTTGGTGGCGACTTGGTCAGGGCCCGAGGAACTTCCCTAGCACACTAGCGAACTTTCCCTGTGATTCCTGCAGGGTCTGGGATGCGCCCAGGCCCCAGGACTTCTGCAGAGGCCAGGGCAGAACCCACAGCCACATGGGAATCACAGCAAACTTGAGGCGAGCTTGCAGGCCCTCCATGGGTCTCAGTAAAAGGGGGACAGGGTGGGGCAGGGCAAGGTGGGACCTGGCACCCCAAGAGCACAGTGACGAGGCTTCATGTCACAACTTGTGCTGCGACTGTGGGCTTGGGGGCAGGAGTCACCCCGGCAATAGGTGTGAATCTGGAGCTATCACTGGTAACCAGCAAGACGGCAGCTCCTACAGGACAGGCATTCACAAAAGCACAGAGCAAGGTGAAGCAGCTGCTTGCCTGCTGGCTCTGCCCAGAGTCAGGAAGAAAGGAAGGAGCAGCTCCCAGTCCCAGCCCTGTGCTCTTCGCCGCTCGGCTCCAGTGTCACAAGGGGTTGGGACACAAGACTGCCGTGCCACCAGCACCGGCCATGTCCTGAGTCCCTCTGGCCCCCAAGCATGGACGTGCCCCACCCTCCCTCTTCCTTCCTATGAGGGCCCCACTGTCATCAGGTGGCACAGGACTTGTGTGACATGGACGCCAGCTAATGTGGGTCAGGGAGCCCTCAGGTACGGCGTTGCTGCTGTCCATGTGCATGACCCTACCTGCTGGGGATGGTTTTTGTCTTGGGGGGTGGGGCGGTTAGAATAACAATTTTCCTGACACTGGGTGTCACCCAGGGCCTCTGTACAAGCTCCCTCCCGCAGCGCTGGCCACCTTTCACTTTGTGATGCCGGTGCTCTTGGGAGGGAGCCAGGAGTCTTGCTAGGTGCAAGGAGCTGGAACCAGCATGTGACTTATGGAGCCCTGGAGACCATAAAGTGGCACTCCAGAAAGCTTGTAGCGGCTTACCGACATGAGATCGAGCTGGATGGTTCCAGTGTCCTCAGGATCCAACTGCTTGAATATCTCTGTGGGAAAACAGAGCCACACTGAGAGAGCGGAGGTGGACTCAGTGCTTCTACTCCGCAGCAGCTGCGGTCACCAAGGCCACCAGTGCAGCCCCCTCCTTCCCGGGGGTGTGGAGGGTGTGGCGTCTGGGCTGTGGACAGTCTACTCCACTCTGGTGCCCGCACCCCGGGGAAAGGAGCCGCCTCAGCTCCAGGACCCGGGACCTCCCCAAATGCCACGTACTGAACAGCGTCTCCAGCCGAACCAGGCACCGGACAAAGTTGTCAAAGTCAATGACGAGCTCGTCGTCTGCAAACCGGGCAACGATCACTTGGTGGAGGTCACAAGGCAGCTTGAAGCCTGCAGGCAGGCCAGAGACAGGCGCTGCTGGGACAGCCGCCAGCGCCACACGGCGGCCCCGCTCCTGGCTGCTCCGAGTGTGAAGCCAGTGCATCAGCCCCCTACTTTGTTCCCTGCCCTGCTGAGACCTGCTTTCCCGCCTGTCCCCACATCAGCCACACTTCCTTTTTGTTTAGCTGGGAATCACCATGGAGCCAGTCCTCCCAGTCGAAGGGATTAAGGCTCACTTCTTTCCCGGTGGGGGCTTGAACCTGCACCCCTGCAGTGAGGCCCAATGTCTGGCAGTGTCTGTGAGAGCTGGGTGGTGGCTGTGCCCCAACGGGAAGGAGCCCTCTGCCAGGCTGCTGGCAGGGATGCCTGTGGCAAGGTAGCCCCAGGAGCCCGCACCCTGAGCGAGGGCTGGTGACCTCTGTGCAGGAGGCACCGTCCCCACCCTGGGCCGCTGGGGACGAAGGCTGCCGCTGAGGAGCCCGATGCTTGAGCTGCTGCTCCAGCTAACAGTGGGCAGCAGCGTCTTTGCCCCCCCAGCACACTGGTCTCCCTGCCCTGGCACCCAAGCCTTATCCACAGCCAGATGTGCCGGCTGCTGGAAGGGCTGGGCTGGGGGCTGTTACTCTCCCTTCACCAGCTCCACGTTGACGGTGTGTGGGGACACCTGCTGTGGCCTAGCTCTGCTGCCCACCCCGCCAGGCCGAGACACTGATGCCAGGGCGCATCGAGGCAGGGCCGCCACTGTCTCATGAGGCCAGCCCTCCGGAGAGGCAGCAGGCCGTGTGCGTCTGCCTTGGATGAGCTCCGACAGAGCACAGCAGGTGCACCTGCAGGAGGGCACAGGCCGGGAGACAGGGTTACCTGCTTCCTCCAGTGCCCTCCGCATCTCATAGGAGTTCATGGTCCCAGACTTGTCTATGTCGATCTCCCGGTAAATTTTCTAGAATATGAAAGATGTTTAGAAAAATCATGACCTGGAGCAAAACTTGGTAGAAGCTGGCATCTGAGGTGGGCTCCCATGGTGCCCTAGTTTGGCCCTGCGGGGTTGCCCGTGTCCCTGCCTTCCACAGCTGGTGGCATCTGCCATCTCTGCAAGCTGTTTCTAAGTGTGGCTGTCACCCAGGCTGCGGCTGCCTCAGGCCCATTCAGGCCCTTGTGTGATGTTGGTGCTCGAGCCGCCACAAATCTGGTGGCTCTTGGGGACCCCCTTCACCAAGTGAGTGCAGAGTGGACCCTCGTGTGGAGGTCCGTCAGTCAGTCTGTCCACCTGTCTGTCTTCACATCTGTGTGCCCACAAGCTCCTGGTGGATGAAGTCCTGGTCCCCTGGGGGATGTCCCTCCCCTGTAGCAGTCGCTGCACCAGAGTCCTCCAGCGTCCCCACAGCCCATGCCCTGGTGGTCCTACTTGGTATTTCTGGATCTTCGTCCACAGGATGTAGAACTCCTTCAGCCCCAGCTTGCCGCTCCCATCTGACTGGCACCATCAAGGAAAGCTCGCGTGGGTGAAGCATCACCTGCCCAGCTGTGTCATCTGCCCCAGGGCTTTCAGAAGGCCCCAGCCACCCACCTTCCAGACCTCACCTCGACCTGTGGGAAATGTGCTGTGGGCTGGGATGTGCGGGGTGCAGTGTTATGGGGAGGCGTCAGAGAGGAGCTACCTGAGGGTGGACCAGGAAGACACACGTGGAGCAAGGACCGCCTGTCCCTTGCTGCCTGCACCGCAGGCAAGTAGGCCATGGCTCACTGGCTCGCAGGAGGTGGTGGCCAGGGAAGAGGCCAGACAGAGCGAAGGGGCGGTTAGGGCACTGGAACATGGATCCATGTGGGCAGTTTCTTTCCCACACACGGGATGAGCCCTGGGCCTTCACCCAAGCTCGATCCCCAGATCTTTTACTGTTTCTGAGATGGGATCCTGATAAGGTGCCAAACTGCCCAGGGCAGGCTTGAACTTGTAGTCCTCCTGCCTCGGCCTCCCAGAGTGCTGGGATTACAAGTGTGTACCACCATGCCCAGTTTATACCAGAGATCTTAAGGTTTAGGGAGTATTTCCTAAAATGCCACTTGGGAAATGCCTCTGGGCTGCTCTGGACAGGGGATGGTGGGTGTGCCACACCGTGGTCAGGCTGGGGACAGCCCTCAGCCTGTGGTGAGCCTGTGTGCCCGGCGTCCTGACGGAGCTGGGCCTGGTGCTCCAGGTGGGTTTGCACCCAGCAGCCCCAGAGCGTGCGGAGGATACGTCTAGCATGTCCACCATGATCTTGCAGGTCTCGATGCTGAAGCCGTCTGACTTGATGTCTTGTCCTGAAAGACAGCAGATTGGAGTTGCCCAGAGCAATGCCACACCACGACCTCTGTGGGTGCAGCATCCCTGCCCCATGCCACGCAAACAGCCAAGGGTGCAGGGCCACCATGCTGTGCCCGTGCAGGGTATGTGCCACATTTGCCCGACTTTCCTGTGTCTGCTTTGGCCAGCGGGGTTTCATTTTTATTCATTCATTTACTTAGACATGGAATCTCACTGTTGCTCAGGCTTGCTTGAATTCCTGAGCTCAAGCAATCTTTCTGCCTCCCAAGTAGCTGGGGTGACAAGTATGTGCCACAGTGAAGCTTCAGGGCATTTTATTTTATTTTTATTTTTATTTTTTTTTTAATTTTTTTTATTTTTTATTTATTTGAGAGAGAGAGAGAGAGAGAGAGAGAGAGAGAGAGAGAGAGAGAGTAGTGTGTGTGTGTGTGGCCAGCTCAGCCCACCAGGGAGCAGGGCTGGCTGGCATGTGGTGCTGGGGGATTGAACTGCGGTCCCTGATGCTTTGCCAAGCTTGTTCTAAGTAGGTGCTTTAGACCACTGAGCCATCTCTCCAGCCCCCAGGGCATTTTAAATAAGTGAAGGAGGATACATAACTGGACCTCAGGTTCCCCCAGGCAGAGGGTGGCCAGTGCCTGCTGGGGAGGGGCAGGGGGAAGCAGAAACCAAAAGGGGTATGGTATTGCAGTGGGGGTGGCAGCTGCTGCCTGCAGGCATGGCCCCCTAGACCAAGGACCAGGAGTGGGACGCTGCCCGAGCCGCCAGGCTCTCCTGGGTGGGCACAGGCTCTGTCACTGGCTTGGGCCCTGGTCTCCAGGACCTCAGGGGAGCCTTGGGGTTGTGTCCCTGTTCTGTTCCTGATCTGCAGGGCACCCATGTCTGCATGTGTGGAGGCTGGAGTTGCACCCGAGGCCCAGGCTTGGAGGGCAACGGCCCCAGGAGCCCCGAGCCAAGGCACCCGACTCTTCCTATCCTCCATCCGTGCAGGGCAGCGAGGCCTCAGTCTCCCCTGCCCGTGGCAGCAGTGCCTCTGACCTTTCCTGCCTGGTGACCTAGAGGGCAAACAGCGCCCTCTGTCCTCCTGCCAGATGGGGCCTGGGCAGGTCCAACTGGGGCAGAGGCCCTGCAGCCGGCCAACTCTGCCTCCCAGTGCCCTGGGACTTCTCTGCCATGCAGGGCGGAATTCCGAGTGTGAGGGTCAGTGCATTGCTTCTGACTCAGATTCCAACTCCTGATGTGCAGGAGCGTGGATCTGCGGCCCCCTGCGCAGTGGCACACAAGTCAGGGCTTCCGCTTAGGAGGCAGCGACAGTGGACGGGCTTGTGGGGACCGCGGCTGCACCCGTCTCTGTCCAGGCATAGTCACTCCCTGGTCTAGCGCACAGCCACTGCTGCAGGTCCACAAGTCCCTGGGCTGGGCATGGGAGCGAGACAGCTCTGAGGCAAGGTGCGGCAGCTGCTTCCCGCCTGTCCTGTGAGACTCAGCATTCGTTTTCTTTGTGCCCATCACTGTGGACTCCCCACTAAGTGCCACGAGGGAGTTTGGAGCTCAGTGAGCTTCCTGACTCCAGGACTTGGGGTCCCACGTGTCACCTCCAAGACACTAGGCCATATTAAGATGAGGAACCAGTCCGAAGGGCCGTGGTGTGGCTGGTGGTGGACGCCCAGCTCTACCCTCTGGGCCCAAGAAACCACTATCCTTGGCCGCCATGTACTCAGGCCTCTGCAGCAGTGGTCCTGGAGGTGGTGGTAGAGGCCACCAGGGGAGGTGACAGTGTCCCCTGTGTACACAGGGCAGGGGGACACTCACGCTTTGCCAGCACTCTCCTCAGGATGGTCTGCAACTCGAAGGCCGAGATCTCCGCATCCTGTGGAAGGTGACAAAGCAGGGCTGCTCTCCGGAAGGGCTGGGGCACGTACCAGGCGTGTGGCACCGGGGACCACAGTGACGCTGGTGGTGCTGTTCAGCCCTCACCAGCTGCTCTGCCCGGCCCACCCTGCCCAAGCTTGGCCTCCGTGCATGGCCTTCCTTCCCCAGTGTCCTGCTTTCTTCACAGACTTAGCACTGGCTCTGCTATATGGCAGTGCTTGTGGAGCTGGCCAAGGTGGCTTTGTGTGGCAGCCCCAGGGCGGAAGCCAGTGGCTGCAGCCTTCGGCATTCCTGTGGTCTGACCACGTGTGACCGGGAGACAGGTGCCTCCAGCAATCCAGGAGGAAGGAGGGCGGGCTGGGCCTGGGCCTGGTGGCACCTGAGGAGGCTTTGCTTGGCAGAAAGGTGTGGGGGGCGTAGTGGTCGCTGAGAGTGCTATGACCACCAGGAAGGGAGAGGGCCACACCACTGGAGCAGGCAGGAAGCCTGGTGCTCTTGTGTGGCTGCTGGAAGCCCCTCCAGGCCCCGCAAATACCAGAGGGAGGCCTGGATTCATGCCTCCTTTGGCAGGGAACAGAGAGAGTAAACCAACCTCAAGAGAAACCCAGTGCCCCAGGGCAGGAGGACCCTGAGCCAGAGCCAGCACTCACCTCCCCTGCCAGCTGAGCAAACAGCCGCCGGAAGCTGTCATCGATGTTCTCCTCCTCAACGTCTATCTGCAAGTGAAGGTGGAGATGGTGGCACAGGGGGAGGGCATGAGCCCCAGGACACCCTCCTGTACCTCTCCTCATTCCCATGCTAAGAGACTGGGTCACCGTAAAGGACAGGTGAGAAGTCCCAAGAGAGCGCTAAACCCTGGCAGGGGTTTCCCTGAGACCCGTGCTCGGCGCCCCGTATGTCTGGCCAGAGCAGCCTTTCACGCTCCACTCTGCCTGGGCCTCAGATTGGGCAGGGCCGGCAGTGTAGTGAGCATTCAGTGCTGTCCCTGCTGCCTCTGTGTGCAGGGGACAGGCACCACCTTCCACGGCAGACTGGGGACGTTGGGACTCCGCAGGGTCTAGTTATCCTGCACGTCCAGTCATGGATGTGACAGGCCTGGCTGCGCAGTGTGGCACTGCGGTCCCCTCCATCCCTCTACAGGTGGCTTCCGGCCGCCCTGTGCTCTGGGCCTGCAGAGGAGGTAGAGGAGGGCAGCACCTCTTCCAGGTTGGCCTCGATTTCGTCATCCACAACTCTGGAAATGAGAGGAAGCTCTGTTACTGTTGAAAGCAGCGAGGGCCAGGCTAGGTAGGACGGCATGCAGCCCTGCCCCAGGCGAGCCCAGAGCCACCCACTTGGCCTCCTGTGGACCAGAGCTGTGGGCACGTCCAGGAGAGTCTGGGCTCTGGCCTGGAGAGGCTGCTTGGGGTGCAGCTCAGACTCTGTTGTCTAAGGAAGCGCATACTGCCTCCTCGCCCCACTACAGCCTGGCTGTGGCCCAGAGTCAGAGGGGCCCCCACCCTCCAACCCCTGGCCCCCATCCACTCCCCAGGCTCCCCAGCCTTGGGGTGCTGCCGGGGCCTAAAGCTAGTTCCCCTTTGCTTGATAGCTCTGGCGGGCTCTATCCCTGCAGTCAGGCACCCGTGAATAAGTGCAGCTGGGTCAGTGCCTAGCGCGCAGACACACTGAGGACTGGGGCCACGCAGAGCAGCAGCCCAGGATCCAGAGAGCTGGGGAGTCGGAGACCCCAGGCTGGCGGGGCAGTGCTGGAGTTGGGGCCGCTGAGACGGGCCTGGGATGCCAGCGGGGCAGTGCTG